ATAATAGTCATTATTAAAAATTATTAAGAATAATAATATATACTCTACAAAAAATAATAAATTTTAAAAATATAAAAATTATAAAATTTTATATTAAATTGATAAGATTATATCATAGTTTTAGATGATTAAATTAGTTTATAATTAAATAAAAAATTCATAATAAAGATAAGAATATCTAACATTATAAAATAAGTTTTTTTAAAAAATAAAATTAATTTAACAATATAAAATCTCAAAATTTTGTCTTCTTTTGATATTGAATTCATATTACCCGCCCTAATTCTAGTTTTTTACTAAGTATTTATGATTTTTAACTAGATATTTAGAGAGATTAAACTGCTCCATTAGAGGACTCAGGACAAAAAAGAAAAAAATTATTAAAACCGGATGTGCTTTTGGTGTCAACACTTTTGGTTATTTCAGGCGAATCTGTTTTAGCAAAGGCTTAAAGCATGGTGCTGACACGATGAAATATGTGTCGACACTATACCCTTGTCGGGTTTGCAATTTTTTTAAAGGTAAAATGTCAGATCTGGTCCTCCAGATTTTTTATAGCAAGCACTTTGATCTCATAACTTAAGATTCAGTATTCATTTATTCGGGTCCCAAAATGGAACCTTTCTTCTGACAGTTCAATCCCTCAACTTTTTAGAAATATTCAATTAATTCTAAAATTTCTTATTATAATGTATTTAAGTCATTTTTTGCACAAAAAATGAAAACTATGTAAAATCTATTGAAAATCACATATTATTCTTACAATAATAATAAAATCAATATTAATATAATAGATAAAACATATAAAATGCTTCTCATAAAAAGGCAAAAACTCACCTTAAGCCCCTCAACTTTTTCAACAGCAAGTGATAAGCCCCTGAACTAAAAAAGTGGCAAATAAGCCCTCCAACCCCACGATGGGTGCAAATCAGCCCTTCCGCTAACTGACTTCCTGACGCCGTTTGTCATCCGCTTCCTTGGCGCTGCACCTGCACGCCTTTGCTTTTTTTATTTTTTTGTTTGCCTTTACTTCATTTGTTTTTAATAATAATATATATTTTTTAATTAATTAATTTTTTAAATTCATTAATTAATATTATATAATATATATCCTCAAGTATTTTTTAATAAAATA